TCATCGTCCAACTCAAAATCACAGTCCGCATCCGTTTCCGAAAACGCGTCGCTTGATACAACCTGGTACCCATGCATGGACTCCAACTGCGACTGGGATTTCTGAGACACATCGGCAGACTCTCCGCCCGTACCATCAAACTGCAAAATGCTCCGGCGGATGAATTCGTAATAATGAGTGAAGAGTGGAACCAACCTCATTTTCTTCCTTGATTGTTCCCCGAGGTCTGGGAGGTTTACCAACGGATGAGTTCTTTTGTATGCCGCAGGTCTTCGTCGCCTAAATATTTTGGCGATAATGGCACTATTCAACTAGAACCTCAATTTTCCCAAAACAGGCCCGATTTTGACCGACTTTTTTCTAAGAGGTTCGCATATTCGGCTCAAAAATCGGTTTGGGGTAGTTCGACCCACTGTACACGAACATAACATCCGCTTGGCCTGAAGCTGCCTAGCGCCCACGCCAAAATACCCCAGGTCACCAAATCCGCTGAAAACTTGTATACGGAGGTTATTTGACATCCTGATTACAAATATCACATTCATTTTTGGCGCTGGCGTGATGAGGACCCTAAGATCATCTGCGCTCTGCTAAGGCTGAGCCTCGCCTGAAGGGAATAACTCCTTCTTCCAGGCTCAGCCTTGGAAGAGCGCTAAATGGAGCTGGTGTCGAAAAATGAATGCCATTTTCGTGACTACGGCCGAGCACGCTGTTATGCAGATTTTTATCGTTTCGATGAAAAATGGTGTGGCGCCAAATGGCGCCAGGGCTAAAAATGAATGTCATGTTCGTGATGAGTGTACCGAATAACCCCAGTAGGCAAGTTTGCACCGATTTTTGTGAGAAAAGTGGTCGCGCCAGCTCAAAACGAATGTCATACTCGTGATAAGGATATCGAATTACCCTTATAGGCAAAGTTTCACAAAAAGAGTTTTTCTGAGTTTTTGGGCTAGTAATATTTGTAGAGTGCCTCGATAATGAATGCTCATGTTCATGTTGCAGTTTTCCATGAATGACACAATTCGTGATGTACAGTCTGGTTCGCCGCGGATTACAGGGCGCGTCGGTGCGGCTGCGTTTGGCGCAGTGCCAAGGCCGTTTTCCATCAGTTGTTGAAACATGTAAACGACAACAGTTGGTGGAAAACCACCGACACGACTGACACCGATATGATGCAATTTTGCCGCTTGCTCGCTTCAAGATGAAAAACGGTTCCGTGTCAAACGCCGCCGCATTGACAAGCCGTAACATCCGCAGCGAACAGACTGCCGGACCAGAATGCAGGCGGTCTTAGCCTCAAAGAAAAAAAGAATGTTTCCGAACCTTTTGATCTGATGAGGACGAATTCGGCCCGGGTGCTTCTTGTGCAGCGTTTTGGTATGCATATCCACCATGATCTACCCTTAGATGATAGTTCCTTGCTGAACGGCTTTCACTATTATAATCGCATGATGGGACCGGACACGGATAGTAGTGTGCACCGTCATCGCTGAAAAAAATGCCAATTTCGAACATCATAGAAGGGCGCGCATAACCCACATGTTGAGAGGCGCTGTCTGATAGAATACTGCTAAGAATTTCAGCGCAGAGTTCGACCGCGGGGGAGCGGCATTTTGTATTTTCGTCGCTAGTTCCGGTTCGAGAGTCCCACTATGGGGAAGCCTGTTCACTCTGCGAAGGTGGGGCAAGCTGAGGGTAGCCATGAGAATGAAAGAAACTGTCAGAGAAAAACGAGTCTTCTGGTTGGTAGTTGAATCTAGCGATTCCCAATTAGAAACAAAGGCCGGGTTGCGAATTCGGTACCTTCACGGTTATTCTTACCCACCTCTTCACTCAAAATTTGAGATATAGTTCTCCCCGTACTCCAGAGCCATGACGTAGTCGTCTAAAGGGGAAGGGCAAGCAGCGCTAAGACGAATTAGTCTTTACAACTCTTCATAAGAGAAATTTAACGCCAACTTACTCAATGGGTAGACTTCCTCTCGCTGAACGAGTGGGCCTTTTTGACAACTGGTCTGGGCACTCTTGAAAGGATGGTATCTGAATGTGTACCAATCTGAATTTGTGTCAATAAAATTGAAGCAGTTGTGCTTGAAAAAAAAAGTAAGCAATAAGTGTATAGGGCCATAACGGGATCTTAAACATGATTGCCTCACTCAAGATGATCTTAAGCCTTGAACTATAGCACAGCCGTCGGATGCTTCAAGCATTGGAATTCTGGAGAAACTCGTGAGGTACTCTGATTTGAATACAGCCTTCACGAGATCTCTCTAAACCATCCGATGTTCAAATAAAGTTTTTTATTGTTCGGCAGAACGCACTACAACTAAAAATAGACGACCCAAGATGGATTAGGTTGCTTGAGCAGGTTGCTTCTTATTGTAGTACAACCCAAAGGGTCTCAGGATACCTGTCAACCGCAGAGTCCCGCCCTTTTCCACTTTCCCTTCCTTCCTTTTTTTCGTTCCCTCTTCCTTTCAAATGTTCGGCCGGAAGATGCAACGAAAAGAATTCCCCTGGCCCTCACAGTGAGAGAATGTTCGACTGACAGACGCCTTTTAACCATCCCAGAGATGTGGAGGGCGTGGCTATCCTAGAGATGAAGGTGGCGTGGTTGCGTGCTTCATTTGAACGTGCGAATACGGTTCTGGTAGGGTAATTCCGTTTTCGGACAATTGTAACACTTTTTGTCCTATGTACCAACACTGAGAAGGAAAAAACCCATAAAGTTTCATGGAAAAGAATTACCCACAACTATAAACACCTCAAAAATTATCTCAAATGTAATTTTGCCATTTATCAGAAACATACGGAAGCCATTTTGCCTCCATGCTTTTCCCCGTGATCTACTGCGCAGCGAATAATTAGCGCCACTCCACTAGAGGTGCACCTAGAAAATACTCTTCTAAACAGTACAGCTTTATCTCTTTTACAGATTAAAGATAAAACTATCTCTTCACCTCTGGTCATAGTGTAATCTAATCGATCTAATTGATTTCCATAAGCGGAATTCAATACTAACAATGTTATACTGCTTCAGTCAACCCAACTCACATCACTGTCAGTAGAAGCCTGGTCGCGAATAAATCGTCGAGATCGTCCTGACTTTTTTGCACCAGTTCCTGAATAAAGTTATATAAAACATGAAATTTTTAATGTTGTTTGAATTCCGCTCCTAACAAACAATAATTACAAAGCAACGAATTGATTTCTCCCGACTTACCGATGTTCTTTGGAGCGTCGTTCACCGGGGGGACATTCTGAATAGCATTTGCGCCTTCTTCCATTTTCGTGTCATTCATTTCACAATGTTTGATTTCTGGTATATAATTTACCTAGAACTAGACTATACTTCTTACTAGACCCATGCGTTCCTAAAAATAATAAGAAGACCAGTTACTTACTAGTTACAGCTCCTTCTTTGCACTCCACTAAATTTCCGATTGCAGCACGCAGTTTTTCTGTCTAATTAGGTTTTAATAAGTGAAGTAATGGGTCAACAAACTTGTACAGCACTACAAGGAAGTTTCTGTGCCAAATATATTGACCGCTGGCGCTGTCTGCAATCTCACCATCGGTTCATTACAGTAGCAGCAAACGGAATTTGCTGAATGTTGCCGTTGTTTCATATAGTTTTACGCTCCGAAATTTCGATTACTTATCTGAACGTTGACTTTTGTGAGGAAGAATCATTTTGAATCATTTAGAATCATCAATCAATTCATTTTGCATTCCTTGTAACTGATAGGTTTATAGTAACATTGTGACCAGGTTCCATTCCAGATAGTTTATGAATTCATTGTCGACGTCCCTTTCGCGGCTTTCTGTTTCGATACAATCCTTTCGAGGGATCAGCTGTACTCCGGTGCAATGTTCCGTGTTCATGAAAAGACAGAAGAAGATTGACCCTGAGGTGAGAGTTCCATTTCCTAACAGTTTGACTCCTCCATCTTCCTTTTTTCTTCTTTGTACATCACAGAGGTAACATTACGAGTTATTTACCTTTGAAACTTTTTCATACCCATAACTCTGTGTAGGTTTCGGTATTTTCCTCGCTGTTTGAATAAATTAAACCTTATTGTCAGGTAGCGAAACAACGAGAAATTCGTAGGAGAAAGCGGCTGGAGAAGGAAATCAGGCAGATGCAAAAACACAGCAAGAAGCCAAAGCCTGTCGATGAGCTGACATTGGATATCAAATCTGCGAAAAATATTCGGTAAATCTCAATGATTTACTTATTGTCAAGTTTTTTACATTGCGTTCCGATGAACTTCCTGCAATTTGAAATCAATACAGTGTGAACACAAGTTTCTCAGTTTTTCGAGCCAAAAATAATTTTTATTTCCTGAAAACAGTAACTCGCAGCATGGAATATAGCTACGGCGATGGTACTTCACGTACGCTCGCGTGTCACAAAAGAATCAGTCAACCTGTTCTGAAATCGCTGTGCTGCTACCAAATCCGTTCTCGAACCACTTTTCGATGTCAGAGCGGTTCCGGAACCGTTCCTGTTCACGCTTTTTGGGGTTGTTTCACTTGAATAACTGCTGTTTAACGCCGCAGTTCGCGGTTTGAAAGTTATCACAGGAATGCTGAGTTATGGGCAAAGTCCTGATTCCGAGCGGGACTCGACCCTGCAGCTTCGTCGACCCGCTACAATGTTGAACATATGAACACTGTAAGGCTACGGCATAAACTGTTCAGCTGGGAGGATAAGGGTATCACTGGTTCCGTTATTAATAGCGTCCTTCCTGCCCGGAAAGTGCGAGGTGTTTGAGTTTCGACTGGGGTGAGGACTTTTGCTCATAACCCATCACCATTCTTATGATCTATCTCGGCAGCGATGTTGAAAAGATTTAGGGAAGGCGTAACATGGGCTCAAATCAATAGGTTATGCAGGGTAGGGTACAACATCAATTTAAATTCTCCAAAAAGCAGCC